GGGGGGACCTGCAGGGAGAAGGGGGGGACCTGCAAGGAGAAGGGGGACCTGCAGGGGGGGGACCTGCAGGGGGGGACCTGCAGGGAGAAGGGGGGGACCTGCAGGGAGAAGGGGGGACCTGCAGGGAGAAGGGGGGGAACATGCAGGGAGAAGGGGGGATCCTGCAGGGAGAAGGAGGGGGGGATCCTGCAGGGAGAAGGGGGCAGGACGCACCTAAGTCCAAGCCCAGGGAAAGTGCAACAGCCGGTGGGCGGGTGGCCCTCACACGAGCTGCGGGCTCTGGGTGACAGTGATGTGTCACCAGAGGCTCATGACTCTGGCTGAGGTTCGTGCAGGGGGAGACTGTGCCGCAGGGGGTGTAAGGGAACCCTGTACTTTCACTAAATTCTGCTGCGAACCTAAAACCGCTCTAGAAAAGTATACTTTTTTAAAAACAGGGCAGGGGGTTGTGAAATCCGTTATGCCTTCGATGTGAGAGAACAGCTTTTCCCCAAAAAGACTAAGAGCACGTGCCCACCTGAGAAAAATGAGGTGAAGTTTATATGTAGAAGAAGGAAGAATCAAAACTAGTCCCCTCCTCACCTTGCGAGGGCCCAGGAGCTGCAGAGCGGGGGCCCCCGCCCCCCCCCAGCCCACAGGGCTCCCCCTCGGAAGCTCCCGAATTCGGTAACCAGTGCCGGCATGGGGGCATGGGCGTCAGTGCGGCTGGGTGACGGTCACAGAGTCCTCACTGCACGCTGCCTGCACGTGGGAGCCTTCTCCGCCCGCAGGTCGCTAGGTCCTGGGTCAACACTCAGAGGACAGGACCCGACGGCCAGGCCCTCAGCAAGGCCGGGAGCTTCTCCCACAGCGCCGGGGGGAAGGCACCCAGGCGGGACCCCTGGAGGAGGGCGGCTCTGAGCGGCTGCGATGCGCGCACCGGCCCTACCCGGAGCCCTTTCAGCGGCTGTGGGGGCCCAGGCGGACGGAGGGGCCACAAGGGCAGAGAGGTGCGGCCGGTCCCCCCCTCAGGGGGCAGGTCCGCGTGGGGCCCCGGGGCACACATGCACTTACTGTTTGAACTTGGTGAGGGTCTTCTCAGCAGGCGTGCCGATGATGTCGTGGATTTTTGAGATCTGGTCCAGCTCGTTGGCTCCGGGGAAGAGGGGCTGCAGACTGGGGGGCAGGGCGGGGCTGCGGTCAGGACGCGCCAGGATGACCTCATCCCGGCATCTCCCCGCGCGGGCGGCCAGCTCCCACGACACCGAGGACACGAAAGCTGCGTGGTACTCCGTGCAGCCACGGACTGCCGTTCCCCCTTCTGTGCGGGCCTGTTTCTCCCCTCCGCGCGTGAGGCGCTCTAAGCCACGGCCGCGTTCCTCTCTGTACCCTGGGGTCTCTGCAGCGAAGCGGGAGCGTGCCCACCGCGATACCTGACCTCGGGTCTCCCGTCACTGAGGAGCTTTTTCGACAAAAACGCACAGTGGGTCAGGTCTGGTTTTGTTGACAAATAAGTCCAGAAAACGTTTTGATTTTCAGAGATGTGTGGACTTGGGAATTGTGGATAAAAGATTTTTGGCTTCTATAAATAAGTCCAGTTCTCAGGACAGGCCACAGCGGAGGGTTTACAGGTGCGGCACCTGGGCCACCCTGCACAGGGACGCAGCTCTGAAACGGGGGAGGGGGCGGCCAAGCGTGTGAACAACGGTCTCCCCTCGGGTGCCCCTCGCTCGGGTGACACAAGCAGCTGTCACGTTCTCAACACTGAAGTCCTTTAACATCCTTTTGGATTAACTTGGGATCGGAGCACAGCGGAAAGGACTGTCAGTACTTTCAGCGTCGATGAAACTGCCCCTCAGCTTTCCAAAAATGACAAGTCGATTATCGAGAGGCATGTCCCGAAGGACACGTGTGTCTGTGGTCATGAAGGGGTCAGCTGAGCAGGTGGAAACAGAGGACTCGGGTCCGCATCTGTGATGCACGTCACCCAGACTTGAAATGCTCCTGTTCGTCCTTAATGATCTGCTCCAGGCAAGGCGAGAGCTGCCACCACCCTCCCCCCCCACGCCCCGGGGCCTCTTCAGCCCTACACCCTCCTCACCTCTGGGGGAGACAAGCCCCTTCCCTTTCTCCCGGGCCGCTGCTCCATCCAGCAGGGAAGCCCAAAGGCTGGGGTGCGGGGGCCAGGGACGATGGTTAGGACTGGGCTTTCTAGAATCCAGCTGTGCCACAGCAGCCCACCCTCACGCTCGTGGCCAGAGCATTCTATTCGATAGACTCTCTCTCAGGGAAGGCCCTGGGGGCAGGGCCAAGGCGCACACCCCCATGGCGGGCCCCGCAAGGTGGCAGCAAGCGCCCCTCCCCTGCTGCTGAGCTCACTGGTGAAGCCAGTGACTGAGGAGGCCCTGCCGGCCGGGGGCCAAGTTACACCGGCAGGAAGAAGTGACTGGTCGTATTCTGTACTTTGTGAGAAGAAGACAACGAAAAGTATTTGACGAAAGGTAAAAGGAAAGCCTGGGACGTTTTCTGTCAAGTTAAAAACCTGTCACATGAGGGGCGCCTGGGGGGCTTAGTCGGTTAAGCGTCCGACTTTCGCTCAGGTCATGATCTCGCGGTTCGTGGGTTCGAGCCCCGCGTCGCGCTCTGTGCTGACTGCCAGCTCGGAGCCTGGAGCCTGTTTCAGAGTCTGTATCTCCCTCTCCCTCTGACCCTCCCCTGCTCACGCTGTCTCTCTCTCTCTTCTAGAAATAAATAAAACATTTAAAAAAAAAACAAAAACAAAAACCTGTCACATGAGCAGGATGACTGTACAATCTGTTTGGCACAGGAGGTGCTGGCGTGAAGCCACCGGGCAGGCCGCGCCTCGCTCTGTAACCTGCTGGACACCGTTGGTGCCGGCGGCCCGGCCTACCTGGCGATCTCGTAGAACACGCAGCCGGCGCTCCACAGGTCCATCTTGTAGGTGTAGAACCCGTCGGTGAGGAGACACTCGGGGGCGCGGTACCAGCGGGTGGAGATGTACTCTGTGTACGGTTGCTTGGAGTAGACGCTCCGGCAGGACCCAAAGTCCCCTAATTTCAGGACGTCCTGCTGCAAGGGGAGAAAGGTGGAGACAGATGACACCTCATCAAGCAGCTGTTATAATACAGCCTGTTTCAAATATGTCTGCGCTAACAGGGAAATTTCTGGCACCAAACTAGCTGGTGACAAGAATTTACTTCATAAGCTCCTCAAAGTGCCTCTGACAGATGAGACAGTGGCGTTGCTGTTCGGTGGGACACGCTGACGAACACCCTGCCTGTGTCTGACAACTAGTTCTGGATGTCTACAGGTTTGGGGAAACTTGAAGCCACCTCGTGAGTCCACAAATGAATCAAATACCACATTGTGTCACCCGACCGTGACCCTAGCTAGGAAGTTCGCCCTGCCGGCAGTTTTGTTCTCCACGTTAGGGGAAGGGGGGGAGGGGGTGGAGCCAGTGGTCCAACAGACCGCACAGCCACGTTTCGGGGTACCGCTTCCACTCTATCTACACCTCACCCATTCAGGTAACAAAGCAGAAGTTGGTAATGCATTTGGAGCCTCTGGTGCCTACAACACCGACGGCAAACATGAAACACGGCACGTTTCTGACCCAGGTTATCAAGGAACCTCATTCCCACAGCCTTTCAACAGATCCCATTACCCAGTGGGTCATGTTGGACTTCCAAAAAAATCGTAAGGTCTGTTAAGAGGCAAGAGAAAACAGTCTGCAGCATCAGAACCAGGTTAGAGCACAGATTTAAGGATTTTAGAATTACCGGTCAGGGAATTTAAAATCACTGAGTAATCTGTTAAGGGCTCCAGTGGAAAAAGTAGGTGGCATGCAAGTTCAGATGGGAAGTGCAAACAGAGATGGAAAGTCTAAGAAAGAATCAAAAGGAAGTACTAGAAATAAAAAACACTGTAACCACTAAAAAATGACGTATTAGCTCATCAATAGACTAAACAGCCAAGGAAAGAAACAGTGGGCCGGAAGATACGCCAACAGAAACTTCCCAAACTGAAATGCAAAGAGAGAAAATAAGGACAAAACCAAAACAGAACAGCCAAGGATCGCGAGACCGTTTCTGAGGTGCCAGGCACCGCGGCACTGGTACCACAACGTGGATGGCCCTCAGGATGACGCTGAGGGGAAAATCCAGATCAGAAAACAGAACATACTATACAATTCCTTTTAGAGAACATTCTAGAAAACGCAACCTAATTAATTATGACAGAAAGTCAGTCTTTGCCTGGGGACAAAGGATAGGAGGGATGAGCAAGGAGCACACGGAAACTTTCAGGGGCAAGAGACCCGTTTGCTAGCTTGACCGTGATGACGGTGTCATGGGCACACAGAGACGCCCAGACTTACCAGGTTGTATGCTTTAAACGTGTGTGGACGACGTGGCTACGGACTGAGACAGACCTGAGCGTGAATCCTGCCTCTTCCCCTTTTACACGCACCATGTTTGGAGTGATTATCTCCATGGGCTTTACATATTTTTAAAAAAGTAATCTATGCACCCAACATGGGGCTCGAATTCACAACCCTGAGATCAAGAGTCTCACGTTCTACGGACTGAGCCTGGAGTTTATTTTTGTGGATAGTAAGAGTGCCTGAGATTGTTTCCTCCCAGATGCACAGCCATGTTGGTGACGCTTACTAAACAAACCATTTTTTCCAAACTGGGACGAAAAGAACAAAACAAAACGTGGGGCCCAACCATCTGGGGCTGAAAGTCTCGCTAGGAAAAAGGTTTCACATTCTATCTTTATTTTGATACCAGTTTTTCATACAGAAGTTCTTACCTTTATTAATATGTTTTCTGGTTTTATATCTCTGTGAAATATTCCATTTCTGTATGCAATATAAAAGAAGGATAGACTTAATTGTACCTCATTCAAATTCTCTCACATTGTATTTTTAAATGAATGTTAATACACTTTATTAATCTGAGAGCTGCCAAGTCCCCAACGGCCTACCTGTGCATGTGATCCAGGGATTTACATAACTGGTACATATAGCGCATAATTTTCTTCTCCGGTAACGGGTGTCTTCTCCCTGTGCAGTCAAGGAAGTAGCCAAGTTCAATTACCAATGGTACATCCCTCATTTTTTGAAGACAAAAATAGAATCCAACTATTTTATTTAATGATGTATGAAAATCTAAAAAATAATCTGAAGTAATTTCTGGAAATACAGAGTGAACATACGAAATGCACCACTTAAAGTTCCACACACGGACATGAGTTCACAGAAAACCCCGTGTGCACCCAACCTGATCTGACCCCTACAAGAACAGAACTGGGTAACAAGCAGCAGAGTAGAGGGCGCCTGGGTGGCTTAGTTGGTTACGTGTCTGACTTTGGCTCAGGTCATGATCTCACGGTTCGTGGGTTTAAGCCCTGGGTTGGCCTCTGTGCCGACAGCTCAGAGCCTGGAGCTGCTTCTGATTCTGTGTCTCCCTCTCTCTCTGACCTTCCCCTGCTCATGCTGCGCCTCTCTCTCTCTCCCTCTCTGAAATAAATAAAACATTAAAAAATTTTTAAAAAAAATAAGCAGCAGAGTGGCTTGGTCTGATGCCCCCGGGCCGGGCCTCCCAGGCAGGCCTGCCAGGACACGCTCTCCCATGATGCAACCGTAAAGTGTCAGGAGTTGCTTGAAACTCCAGTGTTTTCCTCGGCTTCCAGCCTGGACGGAGGTTTCCATTTTATAAGGGGAGAGGTCTCAGTTTGACAGAAGTGTTTTTAATCCAAGACCCATGATTGCTTTGGATTTCACAGCACGCTCTTCTCTGACAAAGAACAGCCGTCATTTGGCGTCTCCTGCCGCAGCTCTGCCGCCCCAGCCCGCCCAGCCGTCCACACACTGCCCCCCCAGACCTGTGGTGGGGCCCCCAGGCCTGTGGTGGGGCCCCAGCCCGCCGGCCGTCCACACGCTGCCCCCCAGGCCTGTGGTGTGGCCCCAGCCACCCCGGCCGTCCACATGCTGCCCCCCAGACCTGTGGTGGGATCCCCAGGCCTGTGGTGTGGCCCCAGCCAGCCGACCATCCACGCGCCTGCCCCCCAGACCTGTGGTGGGCCCCCCAGACCTGTGGTGTGGCCCCAGCCCGCCGGCCGTCCACATGCTGCCCCCCAGACCTGTGGTGGGACCCCCAGGCCTGTGGTGTGGCCCCAGCCTGCCCGGCCATCCACACGCCTGCCCCCCAGAACTGTCAGCAGGTTTTATGTTCTACTACTCTTAACACTATACGCCACCATCAGTTATCCTTGGTCCAAAAGATGTCACATTTTACCTGATTTTAATTTCAAAGGTGTATGTTTTCATTAAGTTTTTTTTTTAAAGATTTATTTGGGGGGGAGAGAAAAAGAGAGAGAGAGAGAGAGAGAGAGAGAGAGAGAATCCCAAGCAGGCGCAGAGCCCGACATGCGGCTTGAACTCAAGAACCATGAGATCATGCCCCCCAGGCGCCCCTCATTAAGGTTTAAATCTGAAACACGACCATTCTGGGCTAACAATCCAGAAAACCACTCCCTCTCCATGAGCACAAATCCTATTTGACATTTTTGGTCCTAAGTTTGCCATTTTTTAAGTTTTTATTTATTTTTGAGAGAGAGAGAGAGAGAGAGAGAGGGAGAGCAAGCTGGGGAGGGGCAGAGAGAGAGAGAGGGAGACACAGAATCCGAAACAGGCTCCAAGCTCTGAGCTGTCAGCACAGAGCCCGACGCAGGGCTCAAACCCACGAACTGTGAGATCATGACCTGAGCCAAAGTCAGATGCTTAACTGACTGAGCCACCCAGGCGCCCCTAAGTTTGCCATCTTTAGTAACAAAGTTTTATTCTTTTTTTTTTTTTTTTTTTACAAATAGTTTATTGTCAAATTAGTTTCCACATAACACTCGGTGCTCATCCCCACAAGTGTATTCTTTTTCTCTCATAACTAGACAAGAATGTTTATGCTAAGAGAAACTAATTTAAATTACAAAATGTCTAAGTACAATTAATTCTTTCATGTAATAATACTGTAATCTTTTTGTTGTGTCACATAATTTATCACCCACTTTCTAGAATTTAAAAGAATTATACTGAGACTTAGTCATCTTTCCCTAGCTTGAGTAATTCTGTAACTTTCTATTAAATTCTTATCTGGATGAAGATGAAAAGAAAGCAAGATTTCCATTCTCCATCACATATGCTGCCGGATGAAGCTTCCTGAAATTTGGTTCCTGTCCTGCGAGGGGGGGTCCTCACAGCTCCGTGAGATAGCTGGGCACGCAGGCCCCCTGCCCTCTCCCAGGGGCCCTCAGGCTCTGGGAGCATCTGTGAAGACACAGAGGGCCCCCCACCCGCCCCTCAGCCTGACAGGCCCATGGTGGGGCCCCGAAAGCCGCCTTCCGAAGGAGCTCCAGGCACAGCCGCCAACCTGGACCCTCACTTTGGGGACCACGCCCCGCCACACCCCTTGTGTACTGAATGCTCCAGCAGCCAGACCCACCTGTATTGCTCATGCGCTTCTGTCCCTGGGAGCACCCATCCAGCCTTGCCCACGCCCCCGGATCTTCCAGCTACGCCTGTCAGGACGGTTACCCAAACCTGCTCTCGGGAGGGTGGAATCTTTTAGGGAGAGTCTAAGCCACCCCATCTTCATAATCACCTTGGGATGCTTTCAAATGGCGATTCACAGTCCCGAACCCAGACCCAAGGACTCTCAAAACCAGACATTCGGGCCAGGAATCTGCATTTCTTGGCGGCCCTCAGCCCCTCCCGTTCCTCACCGCCCTGCGGCCACCACCACTCAGAGCCCTGCAGCAAGGACGTGGCTCCTCACCCCCCATCCCCACTGCAAGAAGCCCCGCCGACCCCCGGGGCTCCTGAGGGAGGGATGCAGTGTGAACCATGTGGGACTGTGCTCTGAACAATTGGGAGTTCACATCTGCGACCAAGGGCAGGCTGACTATCCATTCTCTATATCAGTTCTTCAGAAACAAGATCCTAACTTTCCAGGCCGAGACTGCATCTGGTTCCTAACAGACTCTTGTTTTCATAAGTCTTTTTTTTTTTTTTTAATTTTTTATGTTTTATTTATTTCTGAGAGAGACAGACAGTGTGAGCAGGGGAGGGTCAGAGAGGGAGATACAGAATCCAAAACAGGCTCCAGAGTCCGAGCTGGCAGTCAGCACAGAGCCTGATGCGGGGCTCGAACCCATGAACTGTGAGATCATGACCTGAGCCGAAGTCGGAGGCTTAACCGACTGAGCCACCCAGGTGCCCCTCTTGTTTTCAAAAGTCTTGAAACCACTGGAGACGATACAATTAACAAACCGCTCGGAAGTTCCCGCCTGAGCCTCACTGATCGCCAGCACACAGCGCTTCCCTGGTCTGTGTTAGCCATCCTGACCAAGTTGACCTTTGCAAGCTATTTTTTTTGACCAAATATTCTCATTAAGAAGATTCCAAAGGTGGGGGGGCGCCTGGTGGCTCAGTCGGTTAAGCTGCTTTGGCTCAGGTCATGATCTCACAGTTAGTGAGTTCGAGCCCCATTAACGGCACAGAGCCCATTTCAGATCCTCTCCCCCTCTCTCCTCTCAAAATAAACTCTAAAAAAAGAAGATTCTAGGGGCGCCTGGGTGGCTCAGTTGGTTAAGTGTCCGACTTCGGCTCAGGTCATGATCTCACGGTTCGTGGGTTCAAGCCCCGCATCGGGCTCTGTGCTGACAGCTCAGAGCCTGGAGCCTGCTTCAGATTCTGTATCTCCCTCTCTCTGACCCTCCCCTCCTCACGCTGTCTCTCTCTGAGAAATAAATTTAAAAAAACATTTAAAAAAAAAAAAAGATTCTAAAGAATGTCATGTAAAATATTAACGTAAAAAATGTTTTTGTGAGCATGGCGATGAACCATGGCACTTGCTGCCAGTACTCACTGAAGGGACCGGCCACCTGTGTAGTCTGCACTGTAACAGAGTATCCCACACACGCACCTTCCCACAGGAGGCCCTATCCACGGGCCTGGGCCAGGCCATCCCGGCCAGGGTCCACCCGGGTCCCAGAAAATAGCGACCCGCAGGGGGTCGACAACGGGATGTCGGACTCAGGTGGAGCCTGGACCTTCCCCGGTGAAACTCAAGGACGGGCCCCCTAGTTCTGCTCTGTGAAGCCACCTCGTCCTCAGCAAGTGCTGGAACTTCCGTGGAATCCCGCCCCCTCACCTCTACAAGGGAGGCGAGCACCGGGGACGGGAGGGTGGTGCAGGGCAAGCAAGGTGCTAACATAACAGTAACGATGAAGATGACAGCAGTCCGTGCTTCCTGAAGACCCGTGCGAGTAGCTGCTGCTCTAAACAGGGCTCATATGATTTTATTTACTCCTCGCAACAATCCTAAGAGACACAGGGACTGTTCCCATTTCACAGACAAGGACGGAGGCTCGTGGGCCTGGCCTGGCCCCTCCATCGTTAAACAGGCAGGACGGGGGAGCCCTGGGCCGCGTCAGCACGGTCACACTGGAGCCAGCAGCATCACAACCAACAGGTGGTGACGTGAGCTTGGAAGAAAATCCCAGGGACAAACACGCGGCACTGCTCACCCCGTGTCTGAACGGCACAGAGACGGAGGGCGTCAGGAAAGCAAAGGCATGGATCACGGAGTCAGAATGTTGCAAGGAGGGGTCGGGGATGCCAAAATGGAGCTACTCACTTCGGCTTTCCTTTTTATATACGCAGCAATGTGATCTGCGGGGAAACGGTCTAAATGGATCCAAGAGCTCCTGTAGTAAGCACAGAACTAAAACCGCCAGAGCAGGTAAGAGAGCTACGTGCCACAGTTGGCTGGCAATGTTTCCTCTAAAACTTCCACATCTTACAGTCAGTGGGTCAGATTGATGAAGTATAAAAACACAGTTGAACTGATCTGACACCGTAATGTTAGGCAAAGTAGTTATGTCGCATTGTAAGGCGGCACCACACTGCCTAAGCTGGAATGAATAGTGACGCTATGTTTGCAGTCAAATCGAATTTGTTTTGCCTTTTCCCACTTGCTTCATTCCCTAATGTCATGGATTTATTTC